TTCAAGCTTTCCAATACATTTACAGCCAAATCTAGGTGAAGACAAGGGCTAACCTATAATTTTGTTCAAGCTTTCCACTACGTTTACAACCAAGTCTCGGTGTAGACAAGAAGAGATACCCATGCCATGAAACCAAAGTGAAGATGCTTGAAGGCAAACAAAATCCGGCGACATCAGAAGCAAGGGAGACCACCGACGACAATGGAAGATGCGAAAATCCGAACACATTTAGGGGGAAAGAGAATCCGGAAGTGGAGATCCTTGAGGGAAATGATGGAATGTCTCTTCTAGAACCACTTTCTAGGGAGTAGATGAGTATGGGCTATAATAGGAGTACTGATTTTGTGGGTATAAGGGATGATTTTTACTGCCGGGGTGTTGAATATGAAAGGAGAAGGGGGGAATATGAGGAAGGGCTCGGGTATGATCGTCGGAGGGAAGATAGTGACCACTGGGGAGCACTTCCTCTTCGAGGAATGGGAGGTTATGAAGGAGTTAGGGGAAATGGGGGTGACCCGAGGGTGAAGAAACTGAAGATGCCCATCTTTGAGGGCAAGGACGCACATGGCTGGATCTACAAGGCAGAGCGATACTTTACAATCAATGGGTTGACTGAGGAGGAGAAACTGACAGGGTACCAATGGCGGAGATAAGGCGACCCATTTGAAGCTGAAGGGAGTTCAAGAACTGTTTACTAGAACGTTTCCGAACCAATAAGGGAGGAGACTTCTACAAACAGTTCTTTGCCCTAACGCAGGGGGGACAGTGGCAGAGTACCGTGATCAGTTTGAGTACCTAGCTAGCAGTCTGGATCGTCTTTTTGAGATCGTGCTTGAGGGGAACTTCATGAAGGGGCTCAAACCAGAGATCAGAGCAGCTGTTAGAGTGATGAGACCGTGCGACTTGGGGGAGGAGTTGGCGCAGCTGGTCGAGGATCAGAGCATCTGGAGAGGGGGGCTCCAGGCAGTAGCTCCGGGGGATCCTATAAGATGACTACTACCTTTCTAGCTCCGAAAGGAGCTGCACCGGGAGGTTCGTATGAAGTACCAAAGGATAAGTCTTGAGGAGGGGGGCCTAGGAGAAATTTTAAGAAGCTTACTGAGAAGGAGATATAAGAGAAGAGGGCTAAGGGGTTGTGTTTCAGGTGTGATGAGAAATACATGTCAGAGTATAAAAGTAAGGACCGAACTCTTTAGGTTCTCACCATCTGTGATGACGAGGAAACTGAAGAGGGAGGTGAGAGCGGGATAGTGGAGGAGGAAGAGAAGTTACATCTGGATGTCGCAGAAGTCACTCTAAACTATGTGGTGGGATTCACCCCGTATCACACCATGAAAGTGAGGGAGAAATAGCGGATCGTGAGTTAGTGGTGTTGATCGATAGTGGGGCCACCCACAATTTCATCTCTAACAAGATTGTAAATCTATTGGGGGTGAAATTAGTGAACACGAGAGGATATGGAATGATGATGGACACTGGGAAGGTGGAGATGGGTATAGGAGTTTGCAGGGGAGTTAGAGTTGCGTTAACCATTCAAGGGATACAGGTGAGGGAAAATTTTCTTCCCTTGGAGTTGGGAAATACTGATGTCATCTTGGGGATGAAATGATTGTAGACCTTAGGGGAGACCAAGGTTAATTGGGGAGCTCTGAGGATGGAACTGATGGTGGGAGGAAAGAGGATGATGATCTATGGCGATAAAGGGTTATCTAGGGCCAGAGTATCTCTCAAATCCATGATCATATCCATACAGGAGGTGGGTATTTGGTGGAGTTGCAACGCTTGGAGAGGGTTAGTGTAGGAGAAGAGGGAGACATTCCCATGGTGGTACAACCACTCATATGACAGTTCAGTGAGGTTTTCAAGCCACCTCAGGGCTTACTTCCACCTAGAGAACAGGAGCATGCAATCCTTCTGAAGGATGGGGTGTCACCAATTAGTGTTCGGCCTTACTGCTACCTCCAAATTAAGAAAGATGAGATTGAGAAGCTGACTAGGGAGATGTTGGAGGCAGGATCGTCAGACCAAGTGTAGTCCTTTCTCTAGTCCAATCTTACTGGTAAAAAAGAAAAGATGAGAGTTGGAGGTTTTGCATGGATTACAGGGCGTTGAACAAGGAGACAGTACCAGATAAATTCCCCATTCCGGTGATCGAAGAGTTATTAGATGAACTGCATGGAGTAATAGTGTTTTCTAAGATGGACTTGAAGTTGGGCTACCATCAAATTAGGATGGAGGAGGATATTCAGAAGACGACCTTCAGGACGCACGAGGGGTACTACGAGTTCTTGTGATGTCATTTGGGCTCACTAATGCCCCTACCACTTTCCGGTCTTTGATAAATATGGTGATCCAGCAGTATCTCAGGAAGTTTGTGCTAGTATTTTTTTATGACATTCTGGTGTACAACAAAATGGAGGAGCATCTAAAGCATTTGAAGGAGGTTCTTAAAATTCTACGGTCAGATCAGTTGAGGGCCAACCTAAAGAAGTGCAACTTCGCCCAGTTTAGGGCAAAGCATTTGGGACATGTTGTCTCAGGAGGGAGTGGCGGCCGATCAGACAAAAATTGAGGTAATGCAGAAATGGCCAATGCCTAGAAACATAAGAGAGTTGAGGGGTTTCCTAGGATTGACTAGATACTACAGGAAATTTGTGAGGGGGTTACAGTACAATCGCTTGGCCATTGACCGAGCAACTGAAGAAGGACAATTTTCTTTGGGGAGATGAAGAAACTCAGGCTTTTGAGAGGTTGAAGAAAGCCATGACAACAATCCTAGTGTTAGCTCTTCTGGATCTTAGCAAGATCGTTGTGGTGGAGGCCGACGCGTCAGGAAATGGATTGGTGGCAGTGTTGATGCAAAATCACAGACCTATAGCATACTTCAGTCAGGTGGTGTCAACCAGGGCTCGATTGAAGTCAGTGTACAAGAGAGAGTTGATGGCCATTGTCTTCGCCATTCAGAAATGGCGCCCTTACCTTTTGGGAAGACATTTCATTGTCCGTACGGATCATAGGAGCTTTGAAGTACCTGTTGGAGCAAAAGATGGTGACCGAGGAGCATCAGAGGTGGTTGTCAAAACTTTTAGGCTATGATTTTGAGATCCAATAGCGGTCGGGAGTGGAAAATACGGCGACCGACGCCTTATCCAGATGTGTTGGGGAACTTCACGAGTTGGCAATTTCAGTACCACTGATGGTTGACTGGGGGGCCATCAAGGAAGAAAGCATGCAGAACGAAGAGTTGAGGAAGATATGATGAAAGATAATAGTAGCCATTCGGGATACTAACTTGAGGGGGAGAGGTTGACATTTTATCCTCCTACGACATCAATACACCGCAGTATCAGTGACAGCAGCATTTATCCGGGAAGTGGTTAGATTACATGGGATTCTTGAATCGATTGTGTATGATCGAGATAAAGTGTTCCTCAGCCAGTTTTGGAGGGAGCTTTTCAGGTTGCGGGGAACTGTTCTCAAGAGAAGCATTGCCTACCATCCATAGACAGACAAGCAAATAGAGGTGGTGAACCAGAGTTTGGAAACATATTTGAGGTGTTTTGCTTCTAAAACACTACGGATGTGGGCAAAATGATTATCATGGGCCGAGTATTGGTACAATACTTCGTACTATTTTGCATCCCAAATGACTCCTTTTAAGATGTTATATGGAAGAGACACCCCCGGCACTTAGTGCATTTTAGGAGAGGAAACACACCAATCTCTTCACTCGAATAGTACTTAGAGGAGAGGGACCAGGTGTTGGAGGAGTTAAAGAAACATCTGTGGAGGGCACAACAAATCATGAAGAAGTAGGCATATACACATAGGAGAGACATTCAACATGAAGTGGAGGAGAAAATGTTCTTGAAACTAAGGCCCTACAGGAAAAAATCAGTTGCTAACAGAAGGAAAGAAAAAGTGGCTCCAATGTACTTTGGTCCCTACAAGATGGTGGACAAGATCGGAGTAGTGGCATATCGATTGAAGTTACCACCAGCGGCCACCATACACTCAGTTTTTCAAGTGTCACAACTAAGGAGAGCTCTAGGGGAGCATGCTGTTAGTGCGAAGTTGCCAGATACACTAACAGAGGAGCTAGAAGTGATCTTAGAACCACTGGAGTTAGGAGGGGTCATAGTGGGTAAAAAGGGGAATAAGGAAGTGCTTATCATGTGGAAAGATATTCCCAAGTTCGAGGCCACTTGGGAACCATACGACAGAGTGAGACTCCAGTTTTCTTCTTTTCACCTTGAGGACAATGTGAGTTTTTGGGAGGGAAGTAATGTTATGTGGTCGGCCTCGGAGGTGCTGGCTGAACCGGTCCAAGAGGGATCGATTCAGGTTTATAGCCGGCAGCCCAAGTTTGGGCGGAAACTAGGGGGGCGAAAGCCCTAATGGGGCCCACTTGCTTAATTAAATAGTGTTTAGGAAAGAAAATTTGAATTAGGGGCTATTTAGGTATTTTGTAAGCTTCCTTTAGCTTTAATTAGTCTTAGGAAGGCTAGTCTTAGGAAGGCTAGGGTTTGATTATCTTGAGATTTGCTGAATTTTGAGATCTATGATTTGTTTTGTTTGGGTTCTAGGCTTTGTTAGAGATTTGGAGATTATTTCTTCCTCTCGAATTGAAGAAAATTGTATCTTGCTTTGTTTTTCTTGCTCATTGATTGAATAAAAGTATTTCCCTTGTGTTTCTTCTCCAATATACTAAATTTCCTCCATTTTTCTTGCTAATTTCTCCTTGAAATCAGTCCTATTTCTCGCTGTTTTTGCCAATTCTCGCTAGGTTTGCTTGCGAACTGAAGTATTACTCTTAGGGTTACTTGCGAACTCAAGTACTTCCTATCAAAGGCATTCCAGACCTTTACCTAATCTACCAAAGTTCATCTACAAGTATTTTTAGTGTAGTAGTACAGAGGTTATTCATTCATCGATCACTCAGATTTTTTCTCAATTATTTTAAATCACAAAATTATTCAGACAATCTAAAAGATGCAGACCTTGTGCCATGGATGAGCTTTGATCTGTGGAAACCTGAAATCTGTATAGTTAGGATTCATGCACCGAATTTCCTCCCTCGTTGGAGTGCCCAGAACCTGTAAGAAAGCACATCCAGGTATGATGAGAAAATCTTTACCTCCCATCAAATAAAATAGCAGTCACTCCAGGGACATAGCTAGGCTTCACCTTAATTATTTCAACAAGCTGATCAACGGCACTCTCTCCTGGAAAGAGAGGCTGCAAAGTAATAAAGAAACCTCTTAATAAATAGATAAAAAAATTTGATACAAGAGGACACAAGTAGCAATAGAAATAAAGATCATGACGATACACCAGGAAGAATGATTAACCTGTCCAAGTAACAATTCAGCAAGAACACAGCCTGCTGACCATACATCTATTGTAGTTGTATATTCAGTTGCACCAAATATGAGCTCTGGTGCACGATAGTAACGAGAACAAATGTATGATATGTTTGCTTCACCCTTAGTCTGGATATAAAATGCAAGTTGAAAGCACAAATTCCCGTTAGTGCGGTGAAAAGGACTACTCCATAATAGAAACAAAAGGAAAAGGTCTATAAATTTAAGCACGTCTTATATTGAAATTCCAAAGAAAAATAGCCATGATACTTATTTGCATAGATGGAAAAAAGATGCTTCTTAATTTAAAAGAGGGCACGATAAGAAGGGTTTAAAGCTAATTTTAAAAGATTCTAGTCCTTGCAATAGTTCTACAGTTAAACAATTCAGAATGAACTTCCAGCAAATTTGATTCCAACGACACTCTCCTAAGAATGTAATGCCCCACCAAAACTCTATGAGGTTAATCATGTTAAACTGGGCATGGCATGGCTAAAAGGAAGCAAGGAGATTAAGCAGAGCACTAAAGACATGGACACATCATGTTATGGAAGGCTTTGGAAGTTGCTACTCATGCCCAGAACTCTCCCAAAGATACTAAGAGCTTCTAGAAGACTCTGAGAATCTAAGGGGTTCTACATGCCTCTGGAATAGCCTAGATATATGTAGGGTCTTGGAGAGTATTCTGGGAAACTCTAGAACTCTCTAGAATTTCATAATATAAGAGTACTATAAGTAGGAATAGTGTGGAGTCTTCTAAAGAACTCCACATATGTGTCATGTGTAGTGTATTCTAGAATATTCCTAAATATGGGTGGAGGGCTATAAATTGAACCACATTTTCTTGGTAGCTTTTCTTAGGTTTGGCCTTCTTAGAATAGTCCACTAAACCTTTTGTTGTTGCTATGGAAGAAGCCAAGTCTTGTACTCTTCATCGCTTCAATTCCATTTTGCCCAAAATTGGAGTCCATCCATAAAGTTAAATAGAGCATCCATGTTAGACATGTCAGGGATTTCATGGACCAAGTCAGTGAATTCCTTGATATAATCATGTATTGCTGCATGCTTCAGCTTTCTGAGCTTGGCTCGATTTCATCCTCTACATTCTGGGGATAAAATTGTATTCTTAGTTCCCTCTTAAAGTCCGCAAAGGAAGACATGGAGCATAACCCCTTTTCCATGTCTCTGTTCCTCCTCCTCCACCAAAGTTTGGCGATATCCATAAGTAAAAAGCCATGAACTGTATCTTGGCCTTCTCATCTAACATACCCATCACCCCGAAGTATTGATCTAGTCTCCATAAGAAGTTCTCTAGCTCCTTGGCATTGCGTGAACCCCCGAAGCTTTGAGGCTTTGGCACCTCGACTCGTCTTGCCTTGCTAGTGCTGCATGTGAGCATTGTTGCCAATGCATGCTTACACAAGGCCACATCTCCACGCAACTCCTCAAAGTGAGAGAGCATCCTGTTTAGTTCCCCCATAAACTCCTAATGCATCTTGGCATCATAATGTCCTTCAAATGGTATATTATGCCCTTGAGGGTACCATGGAAGGTGGAGTCTTCTTCCTCAACTCCTAACTACACTTCCATCCCATCAACTTAAACTTCTATGCCACGTACAACATCTTCCATCTGAGTTAGTAGTGACTCTAAGCCGGAGATCATATCCTTGGACTTCCCCCTTAGCCTTGATGTAGCAGGATCACTTCGCTCCTCCCATTTCTGTATGTTGCACTACCTCCACATTGGTGGTCTCATACCCAACAACATGATCTCTGCTGCTCTTTAACATGCCTAGATCATACTTCTGACACCAACCTTACCCTTAGGATTCAACTTGGCTCTGATACCAACTGTCACAGAGAGATCTTCCTTAAGTCTTCCGTGTGGCCTTAGCACTTCAATCCAAATGCTAAGCAGCTTGACTTCTAGCAACGTTAAAAAAGAGTGCTTGAAGTCTGAGAGTGGAAATTTAAAAGGGAGAGAACACTCTTCACTAAGAAAGGCTCTTTACAAGGCTTGAAGCTTGAATGATTTGGAGTATATTACAAATGAGGGGAAGGGGTCCAATTTATAACCATCCACCCATACCTAAGAACATTCTAGAATACACTACACAAAACATATGTGTGGAGTTCTCTAGAAGACTTCACACTATTCATACTTATAATACTCTTACATTACAAAATTCTAGAGAATTCTGAAGTTTCCCAAAATACTTTCCAATACCCTAAACATATCTAAATTATTCAAGAGGCATGTGAAATATCTTACACTCACATGTCTTCTAGAAGCTCCTAGTGTCTTCTGGAGAGTTATGGGCATGAGTAGCGCCTCCCAGAACCTTACATAACATGATGTATTCATGTCTGGCTAATCTCCTTGCTTCCTTTAGTCGTGTCATGCCCAGCTTAGCATGGTTAACCTCATGGAGTTTTGGTGGGGCATGACATTATCCAAAGATTTCCAAGTTCTCTGCTAAATAAACATTAGGAATTAAAAATAACATATAATTAATTGCCCTAGTATATATAAATTAACAAATAAGAATATTAAATTATTTGAATAATTAGGCTGCTATATTATTAATTAATCATCAAGATAATAAATTAATCACAAACTCATTAATGAATCTAATCAAAAGTTAACAAATCAAACTAATTACCAATTATATATTAGTATATAATTATTTTATATAGTACATTAACTAAATTAATCTAATTAAGTATACATTATCTAATATTAAGCTACTAAAATATCTTATTAATTAGATTAATGTAGAATTACTTAATGTTTGAAATATTACTTGAGTACAACTAGCACAAAACTACTAGGCCCAAACAAACAAAAGAAGTGACTTTATTGTAAGTTCAAACAAACAAGAGAAGTGAGTTTAATATAAGTTCAAACAAAACAAATAAACAAACACCACTAAATGCCAATTTGTTTCACTGTAAATGCTTGAAAGTATTTAAATATTAGTTCTGAAAGTGAGTCATATTTAAGTGAGTTGCAATAACACCAATTTATTTTACAAGAACTCGCTTCTTGTGAACCTAGTTCTTATTGTTTTTAGAAGTGAATTTTATTTTTCTCTGCCAATTTTACATCATATTATTATTATTTTAAACAAAAGTAATATTCCAACCCATCATCCCACTAATTTAATATTATTCTATTATTACTAGAAGTAAAAAGGGAAATTTTAGAGGTGACTTACCAAACCTTAAGATTGACACATATCTCACCTTTCTAAATTGAGTTTCAAAATGAGAACTTAATTCCATCCACTTTTAGCCAAACAGTTGCTTGAACTCATTTCTCAAATTGAGATCCAGTCAGTTTGGGATACTTGCAATGAAACTAACAGGCAGTAAAACTTACTTCAATGAAGCTCACTTCTGGAAGACAATCTAACTACTTACAAACACTTATGTTGAAACAAACTAGCCTTTAATAATTTCATAAATGCAATAGCCTTTGTGAGGTTTGCACATACAAGGATATAATCAAGAGCATAATAGAAATAATTTTGAACATGAATAATTCTATTGGGTTGCCATATATGCTGCATTACTTATCCTATATTTCCGAAAGCTTGGTAAATCATACTCCAAAAACTAATGGTTTTAATTATCCAAAGAAAATATACTCCATGAAAATGTTTTAGAATAAATTAATAGAAATAATTTAAAACATTTAACTCATTCTATTGGGTTGTTGTAGATGCAGCATTAGTTCTCCCACGTTTCTTAAAGCTAAGCAAATCTTAACACTGTGAAAACATGGCTTTCATTATCCAAAGATAATATACTCTATGAAGATATTTTAAAATTAATTTTTATGAGTTATTGATATTTGGGTCCATTACTTGTAGTTTCATAGACTTTTATTTTCCTTCTATAGATCTCTAGCACACTATCAATGTTGCATATAGGTCCTTAGGATAATTTTCAGCTTCAGTTGGCTTCATAACATGTGTCATCAACATAATCATACAATGCCTCATATAAATACCAATTTAGCATTCAACAAACCTTCACAAAAATGCTTTTCTCCTAATATCCAATTCCCTCGTTAGAAAGGAGCATAGAAACAAATAATAGGGGAGGAAAACAAAGAAGAGAAGAAGAGAGAAAGAGGCCCTACACTAACCTAGCTCCAATGTCATATGAACAAGGTTGGGGTGAAGGGTTGGAGAAGGCTAGATAGGAGACGTAAAGAAAGCAAGCTTACATAATATAAGAGTTAAATTCAAAGAGGGGTGAGAATAGATGTGTGTGCGCCCGCTTGAGAGAGAGAGAGAGAGAGATGTGGAAATGATTTAAAATTCTGAAAAATAAGGGAGGAAGATCAAAGAAACCTCAACACAGATGCTCCAATAAGAGGTTATTTTTCTCTTAATTTGGAGGCACATCCATAGGACACTTCTATATACTAAATGTCATATGTATCATGTAGTCCCACGAACTAACTTCCAAGTTATTCAGTAGAAAGGAGAAAGATGCAACCATCACATAGAAGCTCATAATAACTCTCTTTTTTCTTTTTTTAACTAGCACCAAAAAATTGCACACCAATGACATAGATATGATGGCAGGCATTTCAAAAAATATGAGTGTTACAATGTTCTTGGGTAACATGCTTAACGTAACAAATTAAAAGTTGTGCATTATTTGAAAGCATTAGATAAAAAAGTTTCCATTTTTCAATATCTTGATCCCAATATAAATTCAAGGCATACTAGTATTTTAGCACTTCCAAAATCGCAAATCTTGACTTGGTGAGTAAGAGGATCAACCTGCATGTAACCAAATTTCATGTGAGAAAAATCATACCTAGAAAAGAATTAAAAGTTAATAAAAAAGTTGAGAAGGTTCAAAAGCATACTAGAACATTTTGCGGTTTGATGTCTCTATGGAAAACTCCTGGGACATTATGGATGTATGCGAGCCCTCTAAATAACTGAACACAATAGTTCTACTCAGACAAATTCCGAAAAAATTCACCCAATGGTTTTATAAGGGAAGCTAAAGAACTGACCTGATAGGCATAAAGCTTGACGTAGATGAGCGGCACTGGGATCCTATGGTTCACATTGCTATAGTGCTTTAAAACACTGTACAGGGTTTCAGGTACATACTCCATAACAAGATTTAAAAAGAGTTCATCTCTACTAGTGGTAGAGAAAAAGCAATGCTTCAAGGAAATCACATTGGGATGATCCATTGATCGCATCAGTTGTAACTCACGGTTCTTGTATCTTTTATCCTGCAACACCTTCTTTATAGCAACAGCCTCTCCTGTCTCCAAACATTTGGCCTGCACAAAAGGTAGCTTAATTTGGACAAAAACTGCAAAATTCCACAAATATTGAAACACGCAGACTAAGCGCTTTACCTGGAAGACAATACCAAAAGATCCCGTTCCCACAACACGCTCCGCCATGTAGCTAATTGTCTGCATGACAATAGCAAAATACGTTGCCAGCTACATGATTAGAATATTGTTGGAAGGAATCAACTACACAAAACAAAACATCCAACTTTAGCAACCCACCTGCTTAGGTTCACCGTTTTTACCACCAATTGTGGTCGAGATGATATGCCCTGTGACTGGATCATTCCCCTCAAGCAGAGATGCTTCCTGCAGCAAGCAGTTAGTGATATCATCCATACCTGCGGACATGATGCTCGAGAAGACAAACTAGGCACCATAAAGTTTAAAGAGCATGTAAAATCCTCAAGCAAGAGCTCCCCTCCACACCCAACATGAAACCCATTAGTAAATCGAAAATCGGCACAGATTCATACAAAAAAAATCTGACCACAGAGGAACTCACGGAAGCCGTGAAAGTAAAATTGAAAATATGAAGACTTGCATAGCAAGTATCAGATGCCTCCAAAAGTGTATATCGAGCAAGAAACCAGTCCGATAAACTAAAACGCTACCATGTTCCGCACGCAACGAGGAAAAGTCTGGGTCGCAAGCAACGATGATTCTACCTCCAAAAGAAGGGAATCAACTTGACTTTCCTAAAAAGACGTAATATCTATCAGAAGAAAACCAAGCAAACTTCCTCAATTTCCCCATTTGAAAGAAGCAACGTTGATTTGACCGGGAGAACCATTAACGAGCAAACGTAGCTCCGAACCACTCGGGAACCGCCGTCTCAGGTAGATCTTGTGGAAGAATAAAGGAATCGAGCAGATCGGCAGATAAGAGTCCGAATCTAGCGCCAAGTTCCTCGGAATCTGGCCTAGACAGAGAAAGAGAGGGAGGTAGATAGAGATAGAAAGGGACCTTGTCTTGAGCCATGACGCCGGGCCGCCGGTGATCGGATTTCACGCCGTCGAAAACAAGGGGACGATAACACTTTGGAGACGGCGAGGCCAAGCAGAACGACGCACCGTCCCCCGCTGTGCTTCTTCTCTCACTTCCATTACCAGCTGCTAATCAAACTTTTTTTTTTAATAAAAATATGTATTTTCAACTCCTCCGTAACGTCAATTTTTGTTTTTAATTATATTAATATACAACTAGTGGTAATAAAAAAAGGAAGTAAAAGTTAAGCAAAACTTTTTGAGAGGGGTGCTAACAAGTCGAGTTCGAGTCTGTGTGTGTTTGAGTTGAGCTCATCTATCAAATATCGAGCTCGAGCTCGAGCCCGACTCATCTCATGTCAAGCTCCGTCCCATTGTCTAGCTTCCCGAGCTCCATCGTCGCGTCCATTGTCCTCCCGAGCTCCGTCGTTGTCCTGAGCTCCATCGTCGCATCAACTATCATCCCGAGCTCTCTGTTCGAGCTCAAAATCGTATTCGAGCTTAACTCGCGAGCTCGATATGCTCGACTCATCAAGCATGTTAACCTGTCGAGTTTGAGTCAGCTTGAGTCGGTTCCACCCTTAGTTAGTGATATGATATTAGTGCTTATAGAAAACATATTTGCTTGTTTAGCTTTACGAAAATATCGCATACAATTAAATAAGTTAAATGAGTTATATGTGAGATTTAGAATTTTTAAGAAGGGAAGAAAATCATAGGGCCTAACGCGATTAAAATAGTAATAAATTGCCGGCCTTTCTTGAAATGGGAGAAGTCATGAATGTAATGCAATGAAATTTTGAATTGTGGAGCAACTTGTATTGTGGTAGTGAAAGGTGTATTTTGGTGTTGAAGTTGACTGCAGATGTCGAGCGATGGTGGACGTCATATGATAGTAAAGATTAGATGAATTTTGAAGTCAAATAATAATGAGTTGGCATTAAAAGGCAATGGGCATCAACAACGATAGGAATTGGGTAATGTTAAGTGTCAAAAATTGGATAATGGTAGGCAACGGGTGACAAAGGTTAAGTGATTGAGAGGGTGTATGGAGCTTTGTTGGCATGCAAAAATGTCAACACATGGATACTAGTTATTGTTGCCCCTCAAAATGATTGAGTTTTCCATTCATAGCTTCATTCATTCAAACTTAAAAAATTAAATTCCCTTGCTTGAACCTTTATCCCTTTCTTAGAGATATTTTATGCATTCCTCTTTAATCTTTATCAATATCAATTTTCATTCCAATTCTTAGGTCATTCTAATAAGTTCTTTTCTAGCTTAGCCTGGAAACCATACCTCAACCTTACCCTAGGTTGAATTGGACTGGACATTAGAACAACTACAGGATCTTGCTAGACTTAAAATATCATAGGACATGATCATTCAAATTTAAAATTAGTTTGAATTCAGTGCAAATTTTCTTCAAAAAGGTTTGATCTTAGCCAACCCTAGGATAGACCTTTTACTAGGATTAACCCTAAATGGTGCCATAGGATCTAGTTGGTGATATCTTTTTCATTGATTCAGTTACTTGTTTGTGTGATACAATTGACCATAAGATTTATTAAGCTAGACAAATGGGCCCTATTTTGATTAGTAATTAATAGGCCCAATATTGCCTAAATCCATGGACTCATTTGGTGATTTTGAACCAAATGGTCCAACAACTTGACCAAACCTCTTTTCTCCTATTTTAGATCACTAAATCATAGATGAGTTGGGTAAATTATTAGGTGTGGAGACCTGACGTAGCTCTACGTTCGGACGCCAATAAAAACTAGACACGTGGATCTTCCACATGAATTTTTTTTGTTTATTATTTCATGTTTTATATCTTGTCAGCCCGACCAACCCAACCGACTAACTCGCATTGTTTGAATTCATGAATACAAAAAGATGCAAAATGGGGTGTTTTTTACTTTTGACGCGACATTTATAACTTTTCACTCTCTGCCCTCGTGCGGTTCTCAAGAAGCTTTTCTTCCAATCCTTCGGCATTTCTATTCTCTAGGACCTTATCGGTGGTAAACGAAGTTAGTGTACTTAGGCAATATTTTAGAAAAGGTACTGATATGTTGTGCATTTATTGCACTTTATGTGTGATTTTACTTTTCAGGGTTTAATTGTTTCATTTCTTACATTGATTATATAACTAGTTTCTTCTACATTTTTTTAATATGTTTTTATTTGGTTTTTCAACCTTCTCATCTAGGAATATAAGTTATATTAAATGATTTTAAACTTGGGCTTTACATGCGCTTTTATTGCGCTTTACATGTACTTTATTGCGTTTTACGTGCACTTTTGTTACGCTTTTGTTGTGCTTTACTTGTGCTTTTGTTGCGCTTTATTAGCGCTTTTATTGCACTTTACTAGTGCTTTTATTGTGCTTCACTTATGCTTAACTTTCTTTTATATTGTATTTTTTTTCATATGGCTCCCTATCAAAGGCATGTTACTTCTTACTGCTATGTTACCACCTTCATAAATATTTGCGACACTATTGTGGAGATATTGGATGAAGAAGTTGAGGATACTTTGAGGAATTTGCACAATCATCAGTTTTTGAAGTTTTCGACATTCCAGCAGTGTGTATCACTTTTATATGAGATTTTTCTGATGAGGTGGCTCTACTCACAGGTTTGAATTTAAATAAAGAATTTTTGATACATTTTTAAATTTTTCAATGTATTATGTTTGGCCAATTAAATAAAAATATTCTCATAGATTTGCCTAATGGAGGTGTTGATATCGATTGGAAGAGTGATCCCCTTACAGGACCTCTATCAACAAATATAAAAATTGAAATGACAAAAAATAAATTGATTAATTGACAATACAACTAAGATAAGGTCATTTTTATAATGGTTTTTGTTTCAATTTTTTTTTTGCCTAAATAACCATAAAACCCCAAGAAGGTTCATATTTATAGCAAATAATATAAACGAGTTCTCTTCTATTAATTGGGCTGCAAGTATTTGAGATTTTATGATATAGAAATTAATAAAAATTACAAATAAGTTTGCAACAGAGAAATCACTAGGTTATATCAATGATTTTTTTCTCTATTACTAGTAAGTGCAAAGTTTATTTATATTTATATATTAGAAATTTCATGATCCATTAATTTTAATATTACTTAATATGATTTTGTGTGTGGTGTTATGTAGATTTAATTTTTGGAACACTTCTCCATAAATAAACTGACCAATCCAAAATTAAGACCACATTTTTTAAAATGGGAGTTGAAAACTAGTATTTTCTATACCCAAAACAGTGTTATCACTTCATTTAAAAATTTGAAAGAAAAGGAGGTACGTTTTAAAATTAAATTTCATCTAATACTTCTTTTGATACCAAACACAACAAAAGTATAACTAAAGCATAATAAATGTGCAAGTAAAGTGCAACTAAAACACAAGTAAAGTGCAACTAAAGCACAATAAAAATGCAAGTAAAGCACAAAAAGAGCAATAAAAGCGCAAGTAAAGCTCAATTGAAGCTCATATAAAGCACATTTTATTTTCTTTTAGAAAGCTCTGATATTTGTTAATATTAGTTTAAATTTTGTGCAGATTTATCTAGTTCCACAGGATATTACTAAGGAGGAAGAAAAATGTTGAGGGTTGATATAAATACTATTCAAAACCTCAAAATCCAAATTCATCAATATCCTCACAAAATCCACTCACCACAACCAAAAAAGTTGAAACCCCACACCTTACTCTCCATATTCTCCACATCAAGAACCCCCTCAAACTCCTGCTCAACCACCTCTTCCTAAAGGTGAACATTTGTCTACTATTCAGAATAAATTATTGGTTGCATTACAAAACATATGTAATAGAATTGAATATAATTTGGGCAGAAGAGTTGATCGAATTGAGGAAAATTTAGAAAAACTTAAAGCAACGGTAGAATCTATACAATACAAATTCATTCACCATCTAGCCTAATGTGAATATGATTTTAACAAACTTTTTATATCTTCATCTTTATGAAGTATCTAATATGTAAAGAAACCCAGAACTACATATGTTCCTCCATCACCATCCACGGCAGATGTTCCTCTACCTCTACCCACTATAGATGTTGTTCAACCACCACCCACAACAGATGTTCATCCAATACAAAGTAAACTTCTCGCCACTACTCCTGAGTAGATCATCCAATACCAGCTATATAAGCTAAAAAGAAAAATAGATGACAATAAACCATCTGAAAGATCGGAGAAACCAATGCATACCCATGATGTTATTTTTATTTCTAAATTAAAATTTGTACCTCGACTTGCATAGCTTACAATGTAATATCCTGGGAAAAATTTTCTAACTAAAGAGCAACAAACTTTTATGCATGATTATTTCAGAAAGTTTAATAAAAAGTAAGTTTAATCATATGCATTTGACATGCACTTTTAATGCTCTTTACATTCACTTTTATGTGCGCTTTTGATGCGTTTTGGAAGCACTTTACATGCATTTTACATACACTTTATATGTGCTTTACATGCACTTTACTTGCACTTTTGTTGCACTTTACTTGTGCTTTACTTGCTATTTACATGCACTATAATTTTTTTCCTTTATTTTTCTGTAGGGACGACCTTATTTTACATCTACAAATATAGCAATAACTATAGGTGATATTGGTGATCTGCTGACAGATGAATGTTTAGGGGACAATCATGTAGATGTATTTGCTATTTTGTTCTCTAAGAAGAGTATGATTATGACAGAGAAATTTCAACGCAACTTATACATCTATCTATTGTACATGGTTAGAAAAAATTTTATTTATAATTTATTAATCACATTAGTTTTTTTGGACAACTAACTTATTATAGGTATACAAGGATTATAAACAACCTTTTCATATGTTTATCCAACACTTCAATCTTGATTTGGTTAAGGAAAGCAATCTTATCGTTCAACCCATCATCTTCCATAAGCATTGGATCCTTATTATAGGCAGGTTGAAAGAGTTTGGAAATTATATGATTTCTTACCTAATTCAGAACATAAGAATATATGTTATAAAGTTGTAAGTTCAAGCCAAATTGTATGCAACTTATTTTCTCAATATAACCATAAAAGTAAAATACTAGTGTATTTTTTTAGATAAAATCTTTGCATTAAA